GTTCTGAACTTATTTTACACAGTTTTTATGTATTTTGAGATTGGTAAAATTTTATGTATAATAATAATAAATAAACTGTATTTGTAATAATTTATGTAATATATTTTTTTCATCCTTTTTTTTTTTTAATACCAGTGCCAGGGATTGAACCCAGGGACACTTAACCACTTAGCCACATCCTCAGCCCTTTTTATTTTTTATTTTGAGACAGGGTCTTGTTAAGTTGCTTAGGCCTTGCTAAGTTGCTGAGGTTGGCCTTGAACTTGTGATCCTTCTGCCTTACTCAGCCTCCTGAGCCACTGGGATTACAGATGAATGCCACCATGTCAGGCTCTTTTTTTTCACTTTTTGCCTTTGTTTGTATTGTATTCTGTTTATTGTCTAATAGTTTGAATTTAAATAGTCAACTTTATTGATCATTTAGGGAGACTGGATTTTTTAAATCAGGCTTTTCAAAGCATTCCCATTCCAAAATTATAGAAACATTCAGCCCTATTTTCTTCTAATATTTTAATGGGACAAGTGAGGTTTTTATTTGTTATTTGTCTGTGTGTATTTCAATCACATCCTTTGCATAATTACTTCCTAGAATTTATTTGAATCTGATAGTAATGTAGGTATTTATTTTTTATTAAAAATAGATGGTGCCTTCTTGGCTTGAATTCTCATCTTTATCATATTCCACACTCCCTTATAAGAAATGGACTTATTTCTGGAATATATTCCATTTTATGACCCAGTCTATTTTTATATCAATATAAACTGTACTAATTTCTGGACACTTGATAGAAGTTTTGGATTGTGGTTTTGTTCCATTACACTGTTTTAATTTTACATTTTGATGTACAAGAAAGATAATGATATTTGTACATGATTTTTTAAAACCAGACAACTCTCTGTGTCCTATGGTTCCTAATAATCTCTCAGTTGATTTTGGAAGATTCCTTTGGAATTTTAGAAGAAAATAAAAAAAGTTATTATCATCATCCTCCAATATTTTAAAACCTACAATATAACCTAGTTGTAGTAGCTTTTAGCTGTCTAGTGTTGGAAGCCTTAATATCTTAACATGCCGTAACTTCCAATAGGGCAGAAATTGCACAATCTTTTTATAATCCCAAGTGGGCTTACCACAGAGCTGACTACACATAGATACCCAGGAAATTTTATTGGATTGAACTGATACTTCCAACTGAATACTTCTCAACATTAGTTTCTCAGTTGCTGGGATTTATCACTCAAAAAAAGGATTGTATTGCCAAAGGTTAGAAAATTGTGATTAAACAAATACTTTATACTGTGCCCTACAGATCTACTAAAAGGGTGGAACAAAATGCACTTCCTCAAATTATGTGACCATCAATTTTGTTTATTATTTTCTTTTTTATCAAGAATCTCCCATACTGGTTTTCTGAAGAACATTACTTATTTATTCTGCTGCAGATGGCATATGGAATTCAAGCATACTTGCCAGTTAATATACTCAACTAACACGTATAGCTCCCTTAAATAATGTGAACACCCATCTTCGAGCACCAGAACTCAGACTTGTGCATTTTATGTGGTGCTGAGGATTGAACTCGGCGCCTTGCCTATGCTAGGTGAGCGTTCTACCGCTAAGCCACAACCCCAGCCCCTTGCCCAGCAATTCTAACATCCTCTTGTTCAAGACTGTCTCTTCATTCAATCAAAAAATGCTTCAATATCAAGAATCACTCAGTGAAATCAAGGATGATCTTACAGCAAACATCCATGTTAAGAGGATGGCCCAGGACATAATAAGCCACACAGCCTCTGCCCTGA